AAAATAAATCTCATATGGGTAAAAGGTCACAGCGGTATTATAGGTAATGAAAGGGTGGATTGTGAAGCAAAGGAAGCTTGTAAATTAGATTGTAGAAAGAACATTTTTTCTTATACCGACTTAAATTAAACTGACGCACTGACTTAAACTAAAAAAAGTACTAAAGTCAGTTCGTCAGAATCTTACAATAATATTAGCAAGACATCAAAAAATCTTTATTTCCAGCTTTACTCACAGCTTTCAAATAGAATACCTGACATAAATTTTGATTATATCAACAGATATACTTCAACAGTAACACGCTTAAAATTGAATCATGGCCATACCCCATGATACCCCGTTATGTGGCTGTGACAACATGTCACTATGTGAAATATATATTTCACATGTGAAATAAAACACCAAATATTGTTGAATAAAATACTCAGCCACAGAGTATGGAAAGCTAAAAAGGAAGTAGAGCCCCGAGAGCACTAAGCTCTCGGAGAGCCCGTGAAGGACTGACTTGGTTGACCTGAAAATCGCCTATTTTTATACAGGCTGAAGTAGCGATTATTAGGGATTTCCAGGTCAGGGACCAATAGGAAAAATGAGGGGCGGGGCGATGCGTCTCGAGCGCGTACTAGTCGCGCTTGAGGACATTATCAAGCCATAATAAACGCATTTAAGATGCAATAATAAATTACGTTCCTTCTTTTTTTCTTCTTCAGCCTTCATTTATCCAATGTTGGACATAGGCCTCCTCCAATTGCTTCCACGCTTCCCTATCTTTTGCAATTCTCATCCACTGCTTTCCAGCTACAGCAGTTATATTGTCTATTCATCTCACAAATTACGTTAAAGAAGCTAAAATCGATATTTAACCTTATAAGCACCTAATATGTACCTATATGTGTATGAATAAAAGTTAATCCTGTGGCTAATAACCACATGTCTAAGGCCATCCCTTTTCTCTACACACACATTAATTACTATATGTACATTTAGATCCAATTTTACATAGTTTTCGCCTGTTTAAGTATAGCCATGCTTCCTAAATCTAATTATTTCCAAACTTATCATGCTTCTTATTGTTTTGTGCAACAAGTTTTAGCTACAGGAAAATGAGTTTTATTAGTCATAAACATGGCCTTGCAAAACTCTCTTGAGAATCCATTGTGTAGTTCTCTTATTTCTTTACCCACACGGACAAGGTGCTCCTTGCACTGCCATTGCACCGTTCTACGACATTTCAGATTAATTGATTATAAACCAGAGACTACTGAAAATATGGGTACACACAGATTATAAATACTACGAGAAAAGTTTACTGTTATTGTGAAGTTTTGAGAATTTCTTCTAGATATCAGATATTTCTACTGTATTTATCAGAGAAAAGTTTGTAAACAACTTTTTTATTAGACATTTTGTTAATGTGCTTTACTCCACCAAAAAAGTCTGTGGTGATTCCTTTATGTTGTTTTAAGTCGCTCTAGGGAGCGATCTTCATGTTATCGTGGCATTTAAATTGAGTAATTAAACTTAAATAATACTCGGTACTAATAATATCCACTTCGACTGATACTACAATGTTGTCACCACAAAAATCTTATTGTGAGCACAAGCATTTTAAGTAGCTTCAAGTGCAAGTCTATCGGAGCCTTAGATACGCTCCTAAGTTAATAAAAGCATAAAGATATAAATATTAATATAAACACATTTTTACGTAGTAATACATTTTTCAGAATGATTTTAATATAAAAAAATTCGTATTTTTAAATTTACCGAATATACGGTGATTTCTCTTAAATTTTATATTTATATTAAACTATATACATTTGAAGTAAAATGATCCGAAGAATAGAAATCGGTAAAAAATAAGTTCATTTCGGTAGATCTCTAAATGAACCGTCAAATCGATCAAACTTCCGAAAAATCGGTGGATGCGGCAACAAAAAATCAGAATGGAGATTGTTGTGTTTAAAAAGTCACTTCCGCAACTGTCGGAGACCGAACATTCCGCCGGTGATTCGTTTTCCGTTACCGTTTCCGCTTTCGTTAATCTAAGATGGGAATTCTTATGTCTCCTGCGTATGCAAAGTTGGTAATATCGGTGATGTTCGTTGGTTGCAAAAATATCACTAAGAACACGTTCCACATTTTCGTTTTTATTGTTATTTTCTTAACTAACTAGTTCTCGATCTTCCCCTTTTTCTTCTTTTTACAGGTTTTTAATTCCATGCTGCCTGCAGTAGTCTTTTCTAGCCATTCTAACTACATGTTTTCATCGCGTGCCTTAGTCATGGACTAACACGCACTTCGATGCGCATCTACAATTTTCACTATTAGCTAACTGAGCTGAAAATGATTATAACGAGACAAAAGGAAATGTATAAATATGGGACATTCTCAAATCACAGGCAGTTTTGTTTTGACTCTCATACAGAGTCTCCTATACCCTGGAAGCCCTTTGCCTTGGCTTTGCTCCTATTCTACTAGCTAGACTCTTAGATAGACTCTTTAAACCTTTAAAATGTGTTTTTATTTTATTAATGATGTCAAAAATTATTGATAATCCACCAAAGATGGAATTTATGCAGAGGGCACTTGGAATTTGTTGGTCAAAATCCCTCTGTAAGGCACCATGGGATTGCATAAGTGGCCGTAGTATTCCAGGCCCTTCCTTTCCTCTTGATAATAATGTCTATATCATTGTAACTATTGCATGTCTATGTCAGTAAGGGTTTTTTGTACAATTCTGTCTATCTCCAGGTTTTAGAATAATAGAGTCCGATACTTTTATGATCATATTCATCATCATTTTGGCTTTACAACCCTGTGTGGGTCCTAGCCTCCCCAATAATTCTCTTTCAGTCGTCCCTATCCATCGCCTTCCTCCGCCAAGCACGTATTTCCATATTTCTCATATCTTGGTCTATGTTACCTAGGAATCTTGTTCTGGTCTTCCTCTTCTTCTTTGACCAATAGGTCTATCAAGGAGCGTTTTTCTAGCTGCGACAGTTTGCTTCATCTGCATTACATGGCCTACCCACCTCAGACGTCCTATCTTAATGTGTTTTACGATATCTGGTTACTGGTATATTCTATAGAGTTCGAAGTTGTATCGTCTTCTTCAGACACCATTTTCACTTACCGGTCCATAGATTCGCCTCAGTATTTTTCTTTCGAAACATCCTAACATGTTTTCATTGCTTTTTGTTAAAGTCCAGGTTTCTGAACCATATGTTAGGACTGGGCGTATTATTGTTTTGTAGAGTTTTACTTTTGTATTTCTTGATATAACTGTAGATTTAAAAAGGAGATTAACGCCAAAATAGCATCTATTAGCCGTGCAAATTCTGCGGTTTATCTCTGCGGTAGTGTCAATTTCAGTATTAACGAGCGTTTCCAGGTATACAAATTCGTTAACTGCTTCGATGACGTCGTTTTCTATAACAAGTGGCCGTCGTATTTGTGGTTGCGGACCTATTTTCATGTATTTTGTTTTATTAATGTTTATTATTAAACCTATTCTTGTAGCAGCTTCCTTTAGTGCTACATACGCCTCTCGTGCTGCGTTTTCCGTTCTCCAAACAATATTGATATCATCCGCATATGCTAGGATTTGCACAGATTTGTTATATATTGAACCGATAGTTGTGATTTGTGACGTACGTATTACTTTTTCCAGAGCTAGATTAAATAGTATACAGGAGAGTGAGTCTCCCTGACGTAGCCCTTTATTTGTATTAAAAGTTTCAGAGAGTTCCCCCTGGATTCGTACTCTGCATTCAACTTTTTCAAGGGTTAGTTTGGTTAGACTTACCAACTGATTTGGTACTCCCAGGTCTACCATTGCTCTAAACAATTCTCTTCTATTTATAGAGTCGTAGGCTGCCTTGTAGTCTATAAATATGTGGTGCGTGTCTACACCGTATTCCAGTGTTTTCTCTAGAATTTGTCTCAGGGTTGAAATCTGATGATTTACCACCTCTGAAACCAGCCTGATATTGTCCTATTATTCGCTCTGCATACAGTGCCATACGATGGCATAGTATATTGGAGAATATTTTATACGCTGCATTTAGGAGCGTAATTCCTCGATAGTTAGAGCATTCAAAGATATCTCCCTTTTTGTGTATGGTGCAAAGTATTCCAATATTCCAATCACTGGGAAGGGACTTCTGTATCCATATTTCTTTTATAAGCTGCTGTAGCACTATTATGATATCTTCGCCACCTTCCTTGGATAACTCCGCTGTGAAATTATCTATTCCGGGTGATTTGTTTCTAGTTAGTTTGTTTACAGCGTCTTTAACGTTTTCTTCTTCTTCCTCTATATTAAGTATCTGGTTAAAATATTCCGTCCATCGATTTAGTACGTCTGTTCTTGTTGTTAATAGATCGCCATTCAAACTTCTACATTGATTTGTGTTTGCCTTGAATTATTTTCTGTTGATGTTTACTTTCTTATAGAATTTATGATCATATTGCAGAATAATTTTTCTTCCTTTCCTCATATCCTTGAGCCGCTATATGTTGTTCAATTTGTTAATTGTTCTCCTTTCTTGCGACAATATTTTCCTAATCTCCTCCCTGTCTGCTACTTGTTTGTTTATTGTCGTTACAAGGTATTTATATATCTTCACAACAGTTAACTGTTTGATCTTCTTCCTAGCACAGATATTTTGCTTTATATATTTTTCTTTGACCTGTGTAAAGATAATCTGGTCATTTGATAATTGCAACGAATATGTTTATGTTATTGAGAGGACTCTCTATCCTCAAAGCAGAGATGAGAGGATGAAAGGACTCTCATTTTGTTACTTTGTTTCTACATTTCTCTTTTTATTGCTGTGCTTCTCGACATTTTCTTCCAGATGTGTTCGTTTTTTTGCTTCCCACAGTTTTTCTACTGGCATACTGTCATATGCTTTTGTTAGATCTATGAAGGTTAGGTAAAAGCTTTCTTCTGTGCTCACTTTTTCTCTATTATTTGCTTTAATTTGTAAGTAATGACACTACACTGAATGCTCTGCTCGAAACCCACATTCTTTCTCGGCTTCTTGTTGCATATTTCCTTCTATAATTAAGTATTTGATAACTCTTACGTATGATATGTTAAAGTCCTATTTTTCACCAGTATGGTGAATTTTCAGATGCAGGTTTTATCATTTCCGTTGATATATTTCCTAATCCACTGGCTCTTCTATTGCCCTCTTTACTATATTTGTTGTCAATTTTATGGTTTCTTCTTGTTCTCTGTTTGTTAAAAGTTATAGATGTGACGAAATATATTTATTAGATATATAAAAATGTAGATTAATATGATATATTTTGCACGATGGAGTTTTCAGTTTTTATCCTCGGGTATTAGAATTTTATTGTGTACATAACGCAAATACTGTTTTACTAATTATTATTATGCGTTAGCTTTTCTGTGTAAAAGTATGCTATGTTAAAAAAGTGAATCTAATTATTTATTTATTATATACACCGAGCTCATAATAATGTTTAATATGTTTTTTAAGGCTAAAATCCAATAGAGAACAATGGTAAATAATTTCTAATTATAACTCGAAATACCTACCATTGTTTTCTATTTGATTTTCGCTTTGAAAAAGGTATTACATATTATCAAAACTGGATTTTATTCAGTAAATAATATAAAATTATTGTTATTTTGTAAACATAAAAAATTGTTATTAATTTTATTCCATAGATACCTGAGGCCGTATTATATACCGTACACTATATATATATATATATATATATATATATATATATATATATATATATATATATATATATATATATATATATATATTATATATATATATATATATATATATATATATATATATATATATATAGATATATATATATATATATATATATATATATCTATATATATATATATATATATATATATATATATATATATATATATATATATATATTCGCACCTTTATTCAGAAAAAGACTAACTCAAAATTTCAATTTGGTGGGAAAACGCATTTAAAGATTGATAATATTTTTTAGACAACTTAATTTGCAAAAAAAATATAAAAATGGTTTTATAGTAATTAGAAAAGTAGGAGTGGGTAGTATAAGTAATGCATTATTATATTGTGGTTCCATATTATTATATTTTTAAACTTTAATATGTATAAATTAATTTTATAAAAAAAGTTCATATTTATTTCACTCTTTGATTAAAAACATAACATCATAATTTAGACAAAGTCGAAACAATTTTAAATAATGCAGTTTTATATTAAAATTACGTATCATGTAGGTGAACTATTTAGACTTATTGCGGTATTGGCTTATACTAAAAAAATAAACCACGAAAATAATAATCTTTGTTCACAACTAAAATAGGATTTTTGTAAATAAAAAGTCGTGTTTTTTGTTTTATCTATAATTATTAGAGAAAATATTTTACATTGGAATATACAAAATTGAATAACACATTCTTATTAAACAATTAACACCTAAGTTTGATTATACTTATAATAGTCATAATCAATATATTATTATTAAAAAAAATCTTAAAAGATAGAATTATAAAACCCAGCATAAAAAGAAGGAACTAATCCCTTTGAAATTAGTTCTTTTAAGTCTTTTTTCTTATTTTCACTTATTTTTTGTTTATCACAATAGGCTGTTTTAAGTTCTATTTCTGTAATTAGTTTCATTTTCTTCCGTTTATTTCTAACATTTACTTCCCGGTAATTTTCATCTTTGTATGATGTTTTATAATAAATAGAAAAAGGTTTTTCTTTAGCGATTTTCAAAATTTTAATTTCGTTCCAATTAAGATTATGTCCTTCTGTATTAGTTAAATAATTATATCCCCATTCTTCTTGCAATAATTTTAAATCGTAAAATGATTCAAAATTTAGTTCATGAACAATTATCGAAGGTGGAGACTTTTTGGCATTTTTAATTAAAGCAATATATTGGTCTGATATTGGTGTGTATATCGGACCAGATTTTAAATTTTTTTTAATTTCCTTTTCAATTAGGCTATGGACACTATCAGCCTCATTCTGCGTGTGGCCCCTATTAAATATTTATGTGTTATGCTTTTTATTTTCAATGTTTGCACAGCATGAAGATATAGAGATGTTAAATATTTATTTTTGTTCTGGCCACAACAATTGTCCGAGTAGAAAATTACTTCCTTTTCATCATCGTCTTCATCAGTTATAGCTTTTAAATATGCCCATACACATGATCCAATTTCTATAGCCCCACGTTTAGCCTCACTCTCCGACCAAAAATAGCAATGTACATTTTTGTAGGCTACCTTAAAATCCTGGGGTGTTAATTCGGTTAAGGTTAAGTTGTAGCAATTAAGCTTAGAGTTATAGTAAAAGGAAGAAGAGTTACCTCTTGGGCATTGCAACACCGCTTCTAAATCAAACACAACTACTTCGATATTTTTATTTATTTCTCTGCGATCATTAGACTTTTTAATCCTACTATAGTTTTTCTCTTTTATATGCGTTTGGTATTTTTCTTTTAGGTCCTTCTTTTGTTCAGCATTAGAATTATTATACGAGGTGCATAGATCACATTGATCCTTTTTTGGTTGAAAAAAGAAGAGATTAAATTCTGTTGTAAACATTTTATAATATTTACTATAAGTACCTGCGTCTCTATTATCATTTTCTTGTTTTAGCTTAAAATCATTAAACAAATCTTTAATATTTTTGCTGCCATCAATATATTCCTTTGTTGTAGAAGCTCGAAGGTAGTGTGATTCAATTTTAGGGATAGATTGAATGTGCTCAATGATTGCAGCTCGTAATTCTGGACTAATTTTTCTATGACTGTCATGTCTGCCTCTAAAATCAGTTTGCGAAAAATCGTTGTTGTTCATTTTATTCTGTACCGTAAATATCATCCTATCAGAGATGTCTAAAGTAGCCTTGTAAAAAGTTTTACAAACTCTAATCGTCGTATTATTCACAATGAAATGAAATGCTTTATTGTTGTGTCTGGGTCTCTGAGCATTGCTATATTTGTATTTAGGCTGAATGTCAATCATACTAGCACTTATGTATGCTCTTTGTTTACTTAAATCACCTAAATCCCAAAACTTCTTAAGGTCGTACCTACACTCTATATTAATATTTGTAGTGCATTTAAGTCTACATTTTTCTGTACATGGTTCTTGACACCTGGCTGGAATAGTCTTTTTTGTTTGCGACATAGATACATATGATTTTCCTGTATTACGCCTGCGCTTAAGTTTATTTTGTTTCCATTGGGAAGGACTTTTAGTTCGTTTGCGTCCCTTTTTTGGAATATAATTACCAGAAGAACGATAGGAATTTGCCGAACTGGTAGAAGAAGATCTCAAATTTTCAAAAAAGTAGTTTCTCTTTCTTTTAGGTTCAATGTTAACGAATGTTGGATCTGTATCGCTTAAGTCAACATCACTTTCATCAGTACATAAAGGAGAAGTGTAATAATTTTGAACCCCTTTTAACTCTCTGGGACGACGATTTACTACCTAAAAGATTATTTAATAGTATAAATTATCTATAATAAATATTAACAGCCATAAATAATAACTTACAATGCCATCGCTATCCAGTTCATCAACAGTCACGTTTTGAGTAATATGGGTTAGTAAGTTTACTTTTGCTGATGATGGAGAACAATTGGACGACTCCGAAGATGAACTATCGGATGAATCCAAAGATGAAGCTGACGATGATGAACTATTTGATGAAGACTGAATGAGACGATGTCCTTCCTCCGTAGTTAAGCATCCAGTAACAATATTTTCATTGTCAGATAAACTACCGTCAGTGTCATCGTAAGGTACTAAGGGTTGTATGTTTGCAAACTGAGATTTCTGTAATTAAACAGCATAATTATTATAATTTATATTTATGGTATTAAAATGCTATTAATACAGTAAATTTGTGATTCAGTTTACAAACTTTAAGTACTTACTATTACAGCTACTTCAACTGAGTTATCGAAACTATCCACTGGTTCCGTTGCCATTTTAACCTCCATATTAACATTCTTCTGGATCTCAACAGCGAAACCATTTTCACTTCATAACTAAAATCAAAAAAAAAAAAAAAAAATTAGGGGAAATATTCAGTTAAATATCATGTAAAAATTTTAAATACTTACCTCATGATTAGATTTCTCAGTTGAATTATAATCCGATGAAATATTTTTAGAATTCAGCACAGTATTTTCAACAACTAAGCCGAGTATTTTTCGTGATCTCGAAGACATCTTAAAGTCTAAAAATAAAGATACCGCTTAAAATTATGTTTTATATAATAAAAAATATTAGATAACCACTTATTAACAATAATTAGTTTTAAGTTTAAATTATAAAATAATTGGACAATAATTATTAAACAGAAGTAACACAAAAAATTACTATTTTTCTGATATCATAATAATATAATACTGAAGCAATACTTAATCACTCATGATTTGGTTAAATATATTAATCAAAAAATGCATTAACTTACAATGTTTTTTATAATCCTCTGATGTAATTTATACTAAACTGTAATAAGTCACAATGTTACAGGAAAAACGAAGTCAACATTTCTAATAAAGTGAAACAACTCTAAATTAATGCACTTTTGGAGAAAATAAATGTATATTAAATAATTACCTGATAGTATAACACCAAATGATTTCGAGTTACTTCACCTTTTCAACTTACTGCACAGCTCTTACCTCTCCTAACGCCGACTCATTACTGAATTTGATCACTTTATCGGTATCAACTTGTTCCCGCCTGTTATTGAAAAAGAGAAACACTGTCATCTATCTCCTTCATTTTTCATCGTAAGGCGCCAAAGGTTGGTCTAGACATTCTCCTTGCATAGTTATTTCACTTTATGATGAAAACTCAATAAACGCAAATTTTGAGTTATTTCTCTTTTTGAATAAGGACATATATATATATATATATATATATATATATATATATATATATATATATATATATATCATGTTCGGAAAGATTTCCGCGGTTAGTACAATGAAACCTAGAGCTAAGATTAATACTATTACAAAAATTAATATTAAACTCACCAGTCTTTCGGGTTGAACCGCGTCGATATCCATTGGGCCGAGTTTTCGACATCCTCTCTGATGTCCTCCCAGGGCTTCCGAGGTCTCAGTCTCCCGAGCCCCCAGACACTACTACCCTGGTCACTGTTCACTTTGCTATCACTACTGGTGATACAGTTCGCTACAGTATCGCTCTTGCTAATCTTGCTTATTACCCTCTGACTTACCCCACACATTCTTGCAATTTCTCTCTGTGGCATAAAAATGTGTTCACTTAACGTGATAATCTTTTCACGCTTCCTAGGCGTAACAGCCATGATGGAATTAAACAAAACACAATTAATAATTACCGAAAAGAACACAAAATAGTACAAAATAGCACAACCTTAGTGGGAAATGTACTAAAACACCTAAATAAAACGTAAGGTTATGTTTTCAATGCTTGGTCAGTTGTAAATGTGTGGACAGTGTTGTCAACTGTAAATATAAAGTTATCACAATGATTCTATTATTTAAAAAGCATTAGTACGGGAGCAATGCGACCAATTTGTGGCAATTTTGTTAGAAAACTCCAAGGTTTCCAGAGCACTAACTAACACATTCATGTCAGAAGCTACAGCTACTTGAGGAAAGCGTTGTTTAAAACGTTTATAACGTTTTAAACAACAATAAAAGCTTAATGCAAGTTCATAGCAAAATAAAGTTATACATTATCGGCATAGCTCGCAAAAAAAAAAAAAATATAAAATGTATTTAAGATCTTAAATAACTATTTCTGACGATCCACGATCGATTTGGAGATCAAATTTGCGCATATCCCATAGCTCAATTCTACTAATTATTAGTTCCTCAAATAATAAAAAAACCTCTTGGGTCAGTAATATAAAAATTGTACTAATTATAAAATATACTTAAATTTATAATTTTTAATTTCGAAGTATGACTTGATATGGTAGGTAGATCTCCGGTTCAAATCCCGGTGGAACCCATTGTTTTAAATTTATTATATCAATATTTTATTAACTATTAATTTGACAGTAAAACAGTTAAGACATTTTATATGTTCGAAGACGAACATAAACAGTACAAGACCTTCCTAAGTAAATACTTTCATATATGTTATAGCGATAGTTTTAGCTGCTTAAGACTCGTAAGACCAAAGTGAAATTAATTGAAATTCCTTTTCAATTAATTTTACTTTATTCTTGTAACGTCGATTTTGTACTTTAAACTTTTTATTAGTTTTTGTACTAATTATTCCGACAATACACAAAGACTGCACCAGCTATTTAAACATTTATGTGTATTTTCCAATTAGAGATTCATACCTAAAACATTTTGTGCTTTTACGGTGACTGCTAACGGAAATCTATCAGTCTTGTCAGATTATTTAGAAATAGCTCTGTCTAAAATCTCTATTGGCTAATAGAATAATTGTAGTGTACGTATTCGGGTCACCTATGAATAATTTGCTTGAACTAAAAGCAATTCGGTGTGGCCCTATCAAGCGCTTTACTAAAGCGTATTAAATATTCTGACAACTAAGGGAGTAGAGTTTCCAGATAACATGATCAATTTTACAATAGGACAGTTTTCACTGGTAAATTAATAGATATGCCGATAATTTTGAAACTTGGCTCGGTTGCTGCAAAAACAGGGGCACAAGGGCAAGAGCGGAGAGTGTTTTTACATACAGTCAAAGGCAACAAAGAGGTTGGACTATAAATATTTTTCTTTAAAATAGGCACTAGAGCAGCAATTAGAGCAGCAGTTAGAGCAGGTAGACGAAATAATAATATTATATAAGACAATAAGCTATGCTTAGCTACGTATAAGTCATCTACAGAGCTTAAACCCGATACTAACGAAGAAGATAACATTAAATTTCAAGAAACAATAAATAGTAATAAAAAAGCTATGCTGAGAATATCTTTAAAACACAAAATAATGCGCCTGGATAATAAATAAGTCAAAAGTAAAGTTACTTGTTATAATAAGAAAGTTGTCGATAACTACGAAAGCTGTTATATCAGATACCGTTAGATCAAATAGTCTAGGTGCCAGGCGACATACTGTATCACTCTCATACATAACAATCTGCAATAATCAGGATATCTTCATAAGACCTCGACCCCCAAATATCTCTTGAGATACTTTCTGTACCGGGTGCTTTTTCTCTGCAGCTTATCCAAAAGTGGGTTTATAAATAGGACGTAGGTATCTACAATTTTAATGCTCACACATTTTACAAAAAAGTAATCTCGACTGTATATTTCTTTATATTTTACATATTTCTTTAAATTTTACATAATTATTAAATAAAGGCCTTATTTTTTTGTCGGAGAATTTATTCATTAAGTTGTACTTTTCATTTAAGAACAAAAAATCATATAAAAAAAACTGTATTAATAAATTTCCACAGACTCGTGGAAAAGCCGATTTTTACTGTCGGACGGAGTACAAATTGTCGGACAATATAAAAATAGAATTTTTCACGTTATTTTTGAACGATACGGTAAAAAATAAATTTGTTATTACTAAATTTTGTGAAGTTGTTTTTTTGGCATGTTTAGTTTGGTGGAGTCCCTTATGGAACCAAAATTTTTGCTGAACAAGATTTTTTTCGGATATTTCACGAAGTCGACTTTTGTATTCATTAGACAACAAAACGTTATTAATAAATTTAATAATTCAAAACTTCATACTTCAAAATGACTACTTTTGGATAAGCTGGAGAGAAAAAGCACCCGGTACAGAAAGTATCCCAAAAGATATTTGGGGGTCGAGGTCTTATGAAACTATCCTCAAAATAGTAGCTTGTTATGTATGAGTGATACAGTATGTCGCCTGGCACCTAGACTAAAATACTGTACAACACAAAATTGATCTATCAGTATAAACGACCGGTATCAGTATACTGGTAATACGTAAGAAAATCAACCTCCTCATATTGTCGGCAAGAGTAATATTACCGAACAAGATTCTTATCCTTAAGAGTTAGAGGGACTTCGTGGGTTGTTTATCTCAAGAGTTCTGGTGACTAAAATCAATTTAAAATGTAATAGTCAATGGATATTATGTCAACGAGGCATCGGCATGTAATAATCACTTGAGGATTACTACGTAATAAACCTGATAATTGAATCAATTGCTATAATTATATAGGGCGTAGAATATCGTTTTGTTTAAATGCTAGGAATAAAATCTAGGTTTAATTCTAAGGCTCAAAGAAAAAGTAAAAATCATAGGTCCATTATTATTTACTTATAAGTTACCAAGCATCAACATACAATAAAAATTCAACCACTCTTGTACATTAGTTTTGTATATCGATTTTCTCTTGGTAAATTGGTAAATTTTTGTCAAGAAATGTTTTTAAACAGAGCAAGTTACTTTTATTACGGCTTCTTAAAAGTTCAGACTCAAAACAAACACGGAGGAGGGCACTTTCGAAATTAATTTTCAGTAGAGCTGCCTGCAATATAAGAAAGGCTTATTTTAAGATGATGTCAATTATAAACTTTATCCCTCTGTAACTTGGATATAAATATAACAATGAACCTAGAAATTTTGTGTGTTTTGGTCTTATAATTCAACCTAGTTTACAATTTTACTCATATAGTTATGTATACATATTTCACCTTCTGACGGTAGGGCTTGTTCTAGATTCAACTTACGAAAACGTTATTACTATAAAGCAATATATATTTATATATATCTATATATCCATATATCTATATATATATATATATATATATATATATATATATATATATATATATATATATATGTATATATATTTATATAGAGGTATATATATTTATATATATATATATATATATATATATATATATATATATTTATATATATATATATATATATATATATATATATATATATATATATATATATATATGATTTATGGAAGATATGGAATCAAAAGCAATAGAAACAGCAGAGCATAAACCTAAACTGTGGCTTAGATATGTTGATGACACATTTATTATCTGGACGCATGGAGAAGAGAAACTTAACGAATTCCTACAACACATTTATAATATCCATCCAAAAATACAGTTTATCATGGAACGGGAGAATAACCAACAACTTCCATTTCTAGATGTGTTAGTTATTAAGAAAGAAGACGGAAGCATAGGACATACAGTATACCGAAAACCAACCCATACTGACAGGTACTTACA